TCCAAACATCTATCGGTTTGCAATCCTCCCAGCAGTGTTAGGAGTTCCCATCTCCCTGGTTCCTCACCTACACTTTCCAGCATGACGTGCGTGGGACTGAGATATAAAGAACTTAAGAGCTCACCTGATCCTGATCCAAGCCCCCCCAACTCTCACATTTCCAGGTGTACAACATTGAGACCAGGAAAGGATAAGTAGTAGGATAAGGATAAGTAGTAGATTCATTGAGGCCAAACCTTGCAGTGAGAAACACAAACTACCATTCGCACAGTTAGAAACGAATGGCCTCATCCTTTCATTGTTGGTGAGGTGCACACACAATTCCCCCATTTAATCATTCTGGAAGCAACTCTTGATTTGCAATCTTCATTCCTTAAATACAAACTCGCAGCAAGTCTCCCTCCCAGATCAACATTCCTAGGATGCAGTAGTTTCAATTCCTTTCTCTAGAGGAGGAGGAAGGCATGCAAATATTTGCTTATGGAGGCTGTGTTTGTATCTTTTTAGAAACCTTATCTTATAATTGGAAAAAATATATATCTGTGGCATTGGAATAAACTTGCACCCAGATGAATTCTGTAGTTATTCAACTTCCTCTCAGCATTTAATCACCCGTGGCAGGCATTTACAACTCTCTCCACTCCTCGCTGCAAACATTATGCCTTAATTACATCACAGCAGGGCTTGGAACGCATTAGTGCACTGAATGGTTCAGAAACGTGGGAGGGCAGAGGAGGACAAGTCTGAACGGATTACTGTGGACCCAGCTTGGCATCATGAGAAACAGACCCACAAGTACAGAGTGAATATTCTTTAGCTGGACTGGACACCGTAGAAATGCCAAGGCCACCCCCACTCCCCCGTTAGAAACCAGGTCTTTGCTCTTGGGAATGACAGAAGACACTTCCCTCCAGTTTGGTTGTAGCACCTTCTCCTGGCTCCCAGGCTGCCACATTTTGTAGTCTGTTTAGGGAAAGAGAGAGAGAATGAACAGGGTTCAGAATCTCACTGCATGAAAACCTGAGGGAACTTCAGAAGCATCTTGTCTAAATGTCTCGTGCTGTTGTTAAATTTTTAGTGTTTCTTCTCCAGTCCTCGTGTGCTTTATAACAGTTTGGATTAGATTAGTCCTGGCATCCTATACCTCCACTCCCATTCACAAAATAGAAATGGAAAGAATCAAGTCAGGTATGACCCCAGGTAAAATTGATAGGTTGACCAGGTTTGCCTTGGGTGACCTCACCTTCTCATTTCTGTCAATCTTCCCTTGGTTTTGTTTTTTGTTGGTTTTTTTGTTTTTTTGTTTTTTGTTTTTTGCCATCTCCCCATAACTCAAAAAACCTGTGACATCATGGCTTTTCTATCCTCTTCCTCCCTCCCCCCAAACAAAAGTCTCTTTTCAAACAAAGATCTGTAAATTCATTCACTATGGATCAATAACAGGTGATACCTAAAGTCTTATCTCTCCCAAGAGTGTGGGACAGGTAGGGATGGCATTTCCTGTTTCTTTTAGAAAAGTTTTCCTTTGACTTAAAAAATTCTGGACGTCATTCTAGAGTTTCATTTGTGGCGTAACTTTCACTGTTGACATTGCTGTTTCCGTGCCAATAATCTTGGTCATAGCTGTATCCCTTTAAGGAAATCAAATAAATGAAAATTAAAGATTTATAGAGCAGATAAATTCAGAGAATTCTTTGTTTTATGAAAGATTCACTTGCCTCATGGGTTTCAAATGTAGCTTGACTTATAAAAAGTTGATCTACCTAGAACTTGTGGAGAGTGCATCTGTTGGGCCAACCAATCAATGCCTACACCAAAGAATTTCAAATTAGTGTATCTTTAACATAAACTGCAGCCTTCCCTTGGGTGGAGGGAACTATTACCTGTCTTCCAGCTCTCAGCCCCACCATCCTCCCACCTCTTCAGGTGCCTCCTGTCTTTGTTCTGCCCCTTCAGGTGTCCTCCGTCAGGGTCACCACATGGCACTACGAGGGGCACCATTCAAGTAGCAGTCTGTGTCGGAGCTGCCCCCTGGTGCCTGGACCGTATTCAAATTGCTTTAAGGAAAAGATGTGGATCAGTTGCAGTAGAACTGCACAGGACTCCGGAAGTGCCCCCATGAGTCAGCGAGGGTTGGACATTCATAAAACAAACCTTTGCTCTGACGGAAGAGAACAACTTCCAGAGGCAGAAGTGCTCATCCCAGCAATGACAGGGGTCTCCCAAACCAGGGGCTTGGGCCCTCTGCAGTGCCATGTCCAACCTCCGTGAGATGGAGACGTAGAGCTAGACTGCTGTCCCATGCGCCAGAGCCAGGCAAGAGGCGCTCAGAAATCATAAGCAGAAGGACAGCAATTCTTTAAGGAGAGCAGAACAGCTAGAAAAATTAGCTTGATAAAAAAGATGACCCAAATCTGAGTTTGGCCTTCCTTTGTCTGTGCCCAGATTAAGAAAATACTAGTTGTTCGCCTAGGAACACGTTTGAACCAATTCCTGCCTTATTTTCCATGGGGCCCAACAGCTGGGAATAGAGACAGCAGCTGTGCTCTGGTGGGGGCAGGATGAAAACAGCAGGGGCTGAGGCCAAGGCCCAGCGAGGCCTTCAAGGGCAATCCTGTCCTGCGGCTGCCACGGGGTGTGTGCAGAGATCACAGGCACTGAGTTTGTAATGAGCTTGTTAAGCTCCTTGCCGTCTCTTTAACTGGTGATTACATTAAAGAAAGCCACATAAAGTGCATTTTCATCTCTCATTCCTGCCCCCGAGAGCCTCTGAGGTCTCGTTTATCCAATTATCAGACTTGCTGTGGAGGACTGTTCTTGCTGAGAACAAGCATATCAGTTGGAACATGATTTCTTTGATGGATAATTAGCTGTTTTCTGGCCTCCTCCCATTGAGCTGGATGTTCTCGGACCAGTAGTCTGATCTGGCCCAACAGGGGGTGTTCCCATGGCACAGTGGAGCCTTAGGGAAGACCCCTGGACTTACATCCTACAGGGGAAAGGAATGGCACAGGATAGACGCAGGAGCTCTTGAAGGAAGGTCTGGGAATTATGATTTAGTGAATGAATTTCTAAGGAAAGGAATAAACTAGACATGACTCTGAATGTAGAGGTTAGGAAGGAGTCAGGGCATGGGAATTATCCTTGAAAGAGATTCAATTTTGTCCAAGGAAATGGATTCCCAGTTTAAGCCCAGTTAGCGCTATGTCCAGAGTGGATCTTCTCTGTGCTGGAGGGAGGGAGGTCGTGCCTCAGAGTAAGTGTCCAGCTCCACCCAGACCCTCCCATTCAGGAGGTCCTGGACCTGAGGTGAGATGGATTTGGCAGAGAGCAAATAGTGGTCTCTCAGGAATCTACAGCCCAGCAGGAAACCTTGCCATAATGAAGACAGTGGCTCTTTTTGCATATGCTATACATACTCCAGCATTGTTGCTAACGA